CCTTGACAACCAAAGGTTGTATCTGAGGATGAATAAACAGTCACCAACTTGGATCATTACAATAGCAAAGAGGTAAGGAAGTACCAGTGCAACACACCATCCCACCAAGCGGACATGATTCTTTTTCCAGGCTTGCACCACCATCACCATTGGTGACGGCCGCCAGGCGCTCTTCTGGCACGATAATGGAGCAGAAAAGGGCCCCTAAAGTTAGTGGCCCCGGAGCTCTACAAGATTGCTTCCAGGAAGAACATGATGACACAGGGAGTGTGTTATTCAAGTTCACCTTACAACCAACCAGGAGGACACCATATCTTCGAACCTGACTACAAATGGCTCTTACTCTTCGGCGTCCGCATATGTGGTCCAGTTCTATAGATCTTAACCCAGGTTCGAACCGGCCAAGAATTGGTCCCCGCACACTGACCCTAAATGCAAGTTCTTTGATTGAATTGCCCTTCATGGAAGAATTTCTCACCGCGGACATGATTACAATCCGGGGCTGGAAACACGACCCGTGATGCCAGCTTTGCCTCCAGGCGCCTTAAACGGTGACCCACATGTGCAATGATTGTCCCCTCTGTGTCGTTGTATAGAACCAACTGATCACCTGGACAAATGAGAATCTTCCGGTGCCCAATTTTCTGCCGAAGCCCGATGATATTTTGATCTGGCAGAATGAGTTGATCGCAAATAAGTCAAAAGAGGCGTGTAAACATTGAAGTGGTAGGCTCATCTACACCGTTTGGAATATATGGAAAGAGAGAAAGAGATGAGTGTTCACGGGACGTCGCATGACTCACCGTGAAGTGGCAATGTTGGCATATGAAGCCATCAAGCAATGTTAAATGGCGTTTTCGAGTGTCATGCATGCCGTGGGCATCAGCTAACTGGCCCATGTATTTGTTTAGTTCTTTGGTTTTTGCCACATTTTCCCACAAAACTGCATCACCTTGTACGTCTTTCTCTCTTAATAAAAAAAGGCAGTGCTCCCACCGGTTCCTCAGAAAAGAAAAATACTACCATCAAGATTTGTTTAGTAAGATAGATAAAATAATCAACAATCAGGTCTTTACCAAAATCATAAGGCTAGGTGCATAAAGTAAGACGTGCTCATGGTAGCGAAGGAGAAAGAAGAACCATGCCTAATCTTCCATATCATGTGCTAGTCACAAGTTTAAAAAATGTGTTGTTTTGTGTGTTCATGAATCTCCACTCCTAAAAGGGGAGTTCATACATCGTTCATTCATTCGTCCTCCCCATACATCGAACAAACAACCCACTGATTTTTTTCTGGGAAGGGTGCATCATAGGGTGGGATTTTGGTGTTGGGTCCGCATGTTGGAGATAATATAACGGATTGTCCGGACAACCACATTTCTCCAACACACATTGTCTGGATTTGGGAAGCCCGGACTGTTCAAATGGTTAAAGTTTGTAGAACCTGTTGGGTGCATGTTTGATCTCCAAACACGCCTGGACATATGAGGAAGAAATGAATTTCGACCTTAGAGATGATCTTAATCATTTGTTTGATTCGTTTATATGCATTATTGCCCGTAGCAACGCATGACTGTTCTACTAGGGGTATATGTGTTTGACATTTGGAGCAAAATATATAATGTATGGTTCACATTTTGTCAAAAGATGACGTCGTGTTAAGTTTATTTAGAAAAGAACTCTTTTTATACATCATTTTATCACGTTTTGTAAGTTTGTTGTTTAAAAGATGTAAACCGAGAACACTCTTATTAGTCCCTTACATTTGTTTTACCATTATTTTATGTGGTTTTTAAGCACATATTATGCAATTTTAACACCATTCCCACAGCAATGCGCATGGCATCACCTGGTTAAGTTTTATTGTGCACATGCACGGTGATGTTCACTAATCAGTTGTGATGGTGAGAGACAATTTGATGTTGACTGCACATTAGAAATTCGTTATCTTATCACACGCAGCTCGATTCATGTGGACGACGTGACGCGCGGAGTGCAAAAACTAGATCGGCCATGCACCATCCAACGCGGTACGTACATGTCACGGGATGTATGGCTATATAGCTAGGTAGGGAACCGGACAAAGTGATATCTATGATGGGGGATCGCGAATCATCGAAACCGACACGAGCTAAATACCATCTTCCACTAGCAAGCGAGCAGGTGCACTGTTGTGCACCAAATTAACTGGAAAGTTGGAGGCTTGATGGCGACTTGAGCTAACCGAAAACGACATTAGAGTACGCTTTTCAGAGTGATACACTACCTGTACGTACACTGGTTAGAAACTCAGGCATGCAAGCAACACCGGCATCTCCGTTGGCATCTTTGTCTCCTTCCTCCTCCACCAGCTCGACTAGACGCTGGCTCACCCGGTGCCCCAGTCCACACAATTCCCCTGGCATGATCATCTTTGCCTGCACGTACCCACGCGCGGCTCTTCAGATGCATGGAGTACAGGAGAAGTGATGTAAGATATCTCCGCCCCTCCCCCCTCGCACTCCCTTCCCTATAAATACCACCCAGGCTCCCCTTGCATTGCCACACACAACAGAAGCAAAGCAACAGCCTGTGAGTGCACTTTGTACACTGTCACTGGCGTAGCTAGCTAGCTAGGCAGAGATGGCGAAGAAAGTGCAGGTGATCGCTACGCTCCTGACCCTGAACCTTCTCTTCTTCACCTTCGCCAACGCCACTGGCCGTCCCTGCCCTCCTGGCGGGGGCAGCGGCGGGGGAGGGAGCGGTGGCGGTGGGGGAGGAGGGGGGAGCGGTGGCGGGGGAGGCGG